TTGAGGGTGGCTTTGGGGACATTGGGGTGGCCTTGGGGACATCGAGGGTCCCCTCAGGGGGGTCTGGGGACAAGTTCAGGGGCTTGGGGTGGCCCTGGGGACACTGGGGGTGGCTTTGGGGACATTGGGGTCCCCTCAGGGAATTTTGGGGCCAATTCAGGGAATTTTGGGGCTTTTTGAAGAATTTTTGGGGTTTTTTTGAGGGATTTTGAGGAAATTTTGGGCAGTTTGGGAGAATTTTGGGGGTTTTTGTGGAATTTTGGGGCTTTTTGAGGGAATTTTGGGGCTTTTTTGTGGAATTTTTTGGAATTTTGGGGTTTTTTTGAGGGATATTTCTGGGAATTTTGGGGTTTTTTGGTGGAATGGGTCTTGGGGACAAATCCAGGGGCTTGGGGGGGTCTTGGGGACATCGGGGGTGGCCTTGGGGACAAGTTCAGGGACTTGAGGGGACCTTGGGGACACCGGGGTCCCCTCAGGAGGGACCTTGGGGACATCAGGGGGGTCTTGGGGACATTGGGGTGGCTTTGGGGACATCGAGGGTGGCCTTGAGGGGACCTTGGGGACATTGAGGGTGGCTTTGGGGACATTGGGGTGGCCTTGGGGACATCGAGGGTCCCCTCAGGGGGGTCTGGGGACAAGTTCAGGGGCTTGGGGTGGCCCTGGGGACACTGGGGGTGGCTTTGGGGACATTGGGGTCCCCTCAGGGAATTTTGGGGCTTTTTAGGGGAATTTTGGGGCTTTTTTGTGGAATTTTTTGGAATTTTGGGGTTTTTTTGAGGGATATTTCTGGGAATTTTGGGGTTTTTTGGTGGAATTTTGGTGAAATTTTGGGCAGTTTTGGAGAATTTTGGGCAATTTCAGGAAATTTTGGGGCTTTTTGAGGGAATTTTGGGGAAATTTTGGGCAGTTTTGGATAATTTTGGGGAATTTCAAGGAGTTTTGGGGCTTTTTGAGAAATTTTTGGGATATTTGAGGAATTATGGGGCTTTTTTGTGGAATTTTAGAGAATTTTTGGGCAGTTTGGGAGAATTTTGGGGCTTTTTAACAAATTTTGGGGCTTTTTAACAAATGTTGGGGGTTTTTTGGGATATTTCTGGGAATTTTGGGCTGCTTTGAGGAATTTTGGGGCTTTTTTGTGGAATTTTGGGGAAAATTTGGGCAGCAGTGGATAATTTTGGGGAATTTCAAGGAATTTTGGGGCTTTTTGAAGAATTTTGGGGCTTTTTTGGGGATATTTCAGGGAATTTTGGGGCTTCTTTGGGGCAATTTTGAGGAAATTTTTGGCACTTCTGCATAATTTTGGGGAATTTCAAGGAATTTTGGAGCTTTTTTGAGGAATTTTGAAGAATTTTGGGGCTGTTTTGAGGAATTTTGGTGTTTTTTGGGGAATTTTTTTGGGCTTTTTTGAGCAATTTTGGGGCTTTTTTGTGGAATTTCAGAGAATTTTGGGCTTTTTTTGTGGAATTTTGGGGACATTTTGGGCAGTTTGGGAGAATTTTGGGGATAATTCAAGGAATTTTGGGGCTTTTTGTGGAATTTTGGGGGCATTTTGGGCAGTTTGGGAGGATTTTGGGGATAATTCAAGGAATTTTGGGGCTTTTTGTGGAATTTTGGGGCTGTTTTGAGGCATTGTGGGGAATTTTGGAGCTTTTTTGATGAATTTTGGGGTTTTTTGTAGAATTTTGGGGCTTTTTTGGGGATATTTCAGGGAATTTTGGGGCTTTTTGAAGAATTTTTGGGGTTTTTTGAGGGATTTTGGGGAAATTTTGGTTACTTTGGAGAATTTTGGGGAATTTCAAGGAATTTTGGGGCTTTTTTGGGGATATTTCAGGGAATTTTGGGGCTTTTTGAAGAATTTTTGGGGTTTTTTGAGGGATTTTGGGGAAATTTTGGTTACTTTGGAGAATTTTGGGGAATTTCAAGGAATTTTGGGGCTTTTTGTGGAATTTCAGGGCTTTTTTGGGGATATTTCAGAGAATTTTGGGATTTTTTGTGGAATTAATTTTGGGGAATTTCAATTTTGGGGCTTTTTGTGGAATTTCAGGGCTTTTTTGGGGATATTTCAGGGAATTTTGGGATTTTTTGGAGGAATTTTGGGCAATTTCGGGTAATTTTGGGGCTGTTTTGAGGAATATTTGGGATATTTGAGGAATTTTGGGGCTTTTTTGAGGAATTTCAGGGGATTTTGGGACAGTTTTGAGGAATTTTGGGATTTTTCAAGGAATTTTGGGGGTTTTCTGAGGAATTTTGGGGTTTTTTTCAGGGAATTTTGGGAAATTTCCAAGAATTTTGGGCCTTTTTTGCAGAATTTTGGGGTTATTTTGAGGAACATTTTAGAGAATTTTTGGGCAGTTTGGCAGAATTTTGGGGATAATTCAGGGAATTTTGGGGCTTTTTTGAGGAATTTCAGGGGATTTTGGGACAGTTTTGAGGAATTTTGGGGCTATTTTGGGAAATTTCCAAGAATTTTGGGCCTTTTTTGCAGAATTTTGGGGTTATTTTGAGGAATTTTGGGATATTTGCTGAATTTTGTTGCTGTTTTTAGGAATTTTTGTCAGTTTTTTTTTAATTTCGGGGCTATTTTTCCCTCCAAAATTCCCAGAATTTTCCTTTTCTGGGATCCATTCCTGGTGATCCATTCAAAGAAAATCCAAATAAACCAAAAAAATTCAATTTTTTTGGAATTCTGCTCGGATTTGAGGTCAATTTTGGGGGTTTTCTGAGGAATTTTGGGGCTATTTTGGGAAATTTCCAAGAATTTTGGGCCTTTTTTGCAGAATTTTGGGGTTATTTTGAGGAATTTTGGGATATTTGCTGAATTTTGTTGCTGTTTTTAGGAATTTTTGTCAGTTTTTTTTAATTTTGGGGCTATTTTTCCCTCCAAAATTCCCAGAATTTTCCTTTTCTGGGATCCATTCCTGGTGATCCATTCAAAAAAAATCCAAATAAACGAAAAAAATTCAATTTTTTTTGGAATTCTGCTCAGATTCGAGGTCAACGCTGGCTCGGAAAACCCAAAAAACACCAAAAAATTCAAATTTTTTTGGGAATTCGTGTTGGATTTGTGCTCAATCCTGGCTTTGAAAACCCAAAAAACACCAAAAAATTCAATTTTTTTTGGGAATTCTGCTCAGATTCGAGGTCAATCCTGGCTTGGAAAAACCAAAAAACACAAAAAGATTAAATTTTTTTGGGAATTCTTGTTGGATTTGTGCTCAATCCTGGCTCAGAAAACCCAAAAACACAAAAAAATTCAATTTTTTTTGGGAATTCTGCTCGGATTCCAGGTCAACCCCAGCTTAGAAAAACCAAACCAAAAAATATTCCAATTTTTTTTTGGAATTCTGCTCAGATTCAAGGTCAATCCCAGCTTAGAAAAACCAAAAAACACCAAAAAATTCAATTTTTTTTGGGAATTCTTGTTGGATTTGTGCTCAATCCTGGCTCAGAAAACCCAAAAACCACCAAAAAATTCAATTTTTTTTGGGAATTCTGCTCGGATTCCAGGTCAATCCTGGCTCGGAAAAACCAAAAAACACCAAAAAATTCAATTTTTTTTGGGAATTCTGCTCGGATTCCAGGTCAATCCTGGCTCGGAAAAACCAAAAAACACCAAAAAATTCAATTTTTTTTGGGAATTCTGCTCGGATTCCAGGTCAATCCCAGCTTAGAAAAACCAAACCAAAAAAAATTCCAATTTTTTTTGGGAATTTTGCTCAGATTCGAGGTCAAT